ACAGACAGGAGACACTGTGCCCAGCCCCTGTGACCCTTTAAATGCATTCTCTTTACACTATTCCAATTCACTATATTTAGGAACCATAGATCACACTGGAAATGATGAAACTGACATTTGAAACATTTCCTTTCTACTTGGGCAGATCGCAGACACATACAGATTCATCCTTTAAGTAAATACGTTGTTTTTAGTATTTTTTTTTAAATGAATGCTTTATGTTTCATGAAGTACCTTTGTTTTTCCTCTTGAAAGGCACTAGTTTCACTTTGATTTGAGTCCCTGTTCTTTAAAAAAAAAAAAGTAGCATATCTTTAATGAATTTAACATTTAAGTAAATATTTAATTTTAATTCTAAAGTCTCATCTCTTCAGGCCAGTAAGCACTCCTTTTTAGTTATTCTTTTTTTCTGAGATGGAGGCTTGCTCTGTCATCCACGCTGGAGTGCAGTGGTGCAATCTCGGCTCCCTGAAACCTCCACCTCCTAGGTTCAAGCGATTCTCCTGCCTCAGCCTCCCGAGTAGCTGGGACTACAGGTGCACACCACCGCTCCCAGCTAATTTGTGTATTTTTAGTAGAGATGGGGTTTTACCATGTTGACCAGGATGGTCTCGATATCCTGACCTCGTGATCTGCCCACCTCGACCTCCCTAAGTGCAAGATTACAGGCGTGAGCCGCTGCACCTGGGCTATGACAGCTTTTTTGTTTTTAAAAAATCTATTCCAGGATCTAGTCTAGTATTAAGCATTGCATGTGAGTCTTGTGTATTTGGTCTCTTTTTTCCTGAAAATTGTTTCAGCCTTTCTCTGTCCTTGTGACATTGACATTTTTGAAGAGTACAAAGCAGTGGTTTGTAAAAAGCCCCTCAGTTTAGTTTGTCTCATGCTTCCTCGTGATTAAATTCGTGTGTACATTTATTACAGGAATACAATAGAGATTTTGTATCCTTCCCAGTGTGTCATACCTGGAAGCACGTCAATTTGTAGGAGGAGGAGATACTTTGATTTTAGGAGACTGTCCTGTTGCTCTTCAGACTTTCAGCCAGTAGTTTTATTTAATAATGGCCTTTTAATGAATCTTGCCTGAATAACAGTTATTGCTAGGTGCTTGCAAAATGCTGAGATTTTCCCCCTAATTATATTATTCCTTACTCACTTATCTAGTACTCTTCCGTAAGGAAAGCTTTCTTTTTCCTCCTATTTCTTCTTTCTGCCTTACTTTCTAATCCAAATGGGATCATGCATGGGTGTTTTTATTCCATACATTATAATCTATTACTATCCTATTCATACTGATGTTCAGATCGTCCCAGGTTTGGCTGTGGGAGCCCCTGCCGGTTGTCTCCCATGTCTTTTGGAAATGGTTTCATTCATTATTTTTGGAGCACTTGCTTATTTTCTGGTATTAGAGAATGTTCATCTTAACCTTTCCCTGTTCTAGCCCTAGAATCAGCTGATTTTTTTTAAGCAGCTTTGGTTTCTTTTAGGGCTAATAGTATTTAGTAAACAAGTTCTGGGCTAGGTCAGCTCATTGCTGCTGTCATTGCTTTTAGGCCTTCAGTGGGTAGAGCTGGGGAAAGAGGCAGCTTCATATGGTTCCATTCAATGTATACATTTTTTAGTGACAGAGCAGTGGGAATACTATTGCTGCTTCGCTTAATAAGAACATTGAACTGTGAATTAGTCTGCCCAAATATTGATCTCAAATCATTATTGCTGGGGAATACTGGAAAGCTGTACAGATTTGAGCTCACTAGTATGAGAATGTGCAACTTCACTGTTTGGTGACAGTTGGCCTTGAAAGAAATAATGAATATAACTGTGTTTTCAGATAGCTGAAAAATGAGAAGTGATATGAAAATACCTGTGCTTTTCCTTGCTAACAGAATCATAGGTACTGCTAGAGTTACTGTGGTTTATTGTCTGTGTTCATAACCGAATACTATGCACAATTTCAGTCAGAGGTTAGGAAAAAACAAAGATAATTTTTTTCCATCCAAATTTACATCCTACTTGCCTTGAATCGTACTTACCCAATACCCCTCAGGACCCTTGTTAAAAACTCCTGCTTTAGAATAAACATCATTTTAAAGCCCAGTTAGTTTGCACAAATCACAGAACTCTAAGGTTGTACCTTTTTATGAAGAAACACCAGACATTAGCTCTTAAATATTACTGTTACCTTTTAGTTTTTCTACCTACTGTTTTTTTTGTTTTGTTTTGTTTTGTTTTTTTGTATTTTTTTGAGACAAGGTCTCACTCTGTTGCCCATGCTGGAGTGTACTGGCATGATCATGGCTTACTGCAGCTTTGACCTCCCAGGCTAGGTGATCCTCCCACCACAGCCTCCTGGGTAGCTGGGACAGCAGGCGTGCACCACCATCCCCAGCTAATTTTTCATAGAGATGGGGTTTCACTGTATTGGCCAGGCTGGTTTTGAACTCCTGGGCTCAAGCAATCCACTTGCCTTGGCCTCCTAAATTGCTGGGATTACAGGCGTGAGCCACCGCATTCAGCCTGTACTTACTCTTTATCATTGTTTTTAATATTGTCATTCTCTCTAGCCTTTTCTATATACATTTCTTTAATCCTTAGGAAATTATTTTTTTGTTGCACTCATAGAATTTGATGTGTAGTGTTTCTTAAGTCTTTATAAATGTATTTAGTCTTGTCATATCTTAATTCAGTATAAAGCAGCAGTAAGTATGTATATTTATTTTTACATGGGTTTAGAATATAATCCATACCACCATACTGTGAGTTTGTTCCTTTGTATTCATTCCTTTTTGCTTGTACTTCTTACTGCCACAAAATCTACTGATTCATAAGTAACAAGCTTTACTGACAATGAGAATGAAATGGGAATTGCACTCTACATCACACTGCCAAAATGGCCAAGACAATGAAAGTCCTAAATCATTTTTCTTTGCATTCTCCTCTGTCTGTCCTTGGGGTATTTAGAGTAGAAATAGATCGGATAATTCAAGGGTACAAGCTGGGAAGAGGGGTTTGGAGGAGCCAGGATGTGGTGGTAAATCTTCAGGAAAAAATTCCTATCCTCTGACAGAGTTCACCAATCCACTATTTACCATTATCTCTGCCAGAGAAGGATGACTTTTCATGACTTAGCCATATCTCAATCCTCAATTATATAATGTGACTCTCTGAGATCCAATCATGTTTAAATTTAGAAAAACAATATATATGAGAAGAAGGCATGAATAAAAAGTATAGAGTGGCCAAAATTTATTTTTAGTTGGTTTACTGAACCATGGACCTTATAAATTAAAGTGCAGAACTTTATGGATTATATTTTCTATAGAAAACACTGGGCTATATATTACTATGTACATTTTTGAGCCATTACTTTATAGTTGTCCTCTTTTGCCAGCAGGTGGGCCATAAGCAAGCAGTTATAACCCCTAGCTCAAAAGTGAAACACTTCCAAAGCGCCTACAGCAATGCAGCAATACATCGTCTTTCCATCCCTTCCGTCTCTCCTATGCCAACACACACACACACACACACACACACACACACACACACTCACACACTGTTCTGTACCTTTTTCTCACTTAAGGATTATTGTGGAGATTGGTATGTATCAATGTAAGAAGAGACAAAATTTTTCAGACTTGCATAGCATTCCATTGTACAACTGTACCATGATTGATTTAACCCTCATTGATGAATATTAGCTGGTTTTCAGTCTTTATTATTATACAAACAATGCGACAGTGAGCAGACTTGCATTCTATCACTTTCCCTATGTGTGAGCATCTCTGTAGGATCAGTTATTAAAGGGCGTGTGCACTTGTGATCTTGATCGCCAGTGCCAGGTTGTCCTCCATAGATGTCGTGCCATTGATATCACTAGCAGCAGGGTGCTGTGTCTGCCTGTCTCCCTAGAACCTCGTCTGTCCAATAGATGACAAATGTAGTTTCTCAGTGCCCTTCCAATGTACATGCTCCTGATTAAGCAGTGTTGAGCGTTGTTTATGTATATTTATAAAATAAATATATAAACAAATATATAATTGTATATTTATTTTATATATAATGAATTATATTTAGGGATATGCCTTTAAAATTAAAAATATAAATAATTTACATAGCACATATAATTTACATATCATATAACATATAATTTATAAATATAAAAATATATAGTATAATGTATAATATATACTATATAATATATAAAAATATAAATACATATATATAATTTATAATATATTTTTATATATTTTAGAGGCATTATGTTTATTTTCCTAAGGACTTTATGACTGTTGCTTGTATTTCTATAATAGTATTGGTATTTTTTGTTACTGACTTGGAGGAGCATATTGCATATTAGTGACATTAGCTGTTGATCTGTGATAAGAGTTGAAATAGAAATGTTTGTTCTATTTTATTCTTTATGTTTTAATACCTGTTAGAAATAGTCCCCACTACTCTTTTGTTTTGTATTTTTGTAATGATTTTTGTTTATTCTTCCATATGAACTTGAATTGAATTTCAACTTGAGAAGGATTAAGCTCTGTGATCATTGTCATCATGATCTTTCTTTTTAACTTGTCCAATAATGCTTATATCTTTTGAATTGTATTGATTATTAGACTTTAAGTAGGCTATTAGCAGAATCTGGACAATAATAGACTGTACTGACTACTGGGGGCTGAAAGAGATGACACTAGAACATTCTGGGCTTTTCTTACTTGTTAAAGAATTGTATATTAGTCTTCATACTTTCAGACAAAAGGTCACAGAGGAGAGACTTGAGGAGGACACAGAGGTCATGCTCTTCTCGAAATAGTTCCCTATGTTTTCTATTCTGATAAGCCACAGCTTGCATAAAGTTCCTTTAAAGTTTCCAATATATTTTGAGTCCCTACACATTAGTATTTTCTAATACCATATATTAGTACAGAGATTTTTTTGTCAAACAAAAATATTAGTCAATATTTTTTCAGTAAAACTTTAAATTATTTTAATTTCAGGGTGGTTTATGGTGTTTTGGAGGAAATGGACTTCCTTATGCTGAAAGTTTTGGAGAAGTTCCTTCAGCAACAGTGGAAATGTTCTGTTTAGAAGCTATAGTAAAACATTCTGAGGTAATTTACATTTTCAAAATGTAGTTTATTTTCTATGATTGGATTGAAATAATGTATAGATTGATTCTTGCAAGGGCAGTAATCATCATTTATTATAAAAGGAGAAAAGCTTTTCACTTGTTTTTAAATTTCTGCTTTCCTCCAGTTTTAATTGTTAGAATAATCTTGATTAGCACCAATAAATGAGATTCAGTTTTGCTAAGTATTTCTAAAAATTTATTTAATTTTAATTGCATAGAAAGAAAGTAGCCCATTATCTAAATGTGGCATTCACCTTTGAGGTATGCTGTCTTCTGCTGCTTTTCTGAGATCATTTTTACATAATATTTTCAGATAATTTCCATTAAAACAACTGCCAAAGATGTGACAAGATAAAAGAAAAAACAGTCCAGGTGTGGTGACTCACGCCTGTAATCCCAGCACTTTGAGAGACTGAGGTGGATGGATCACCTGAGGTCAGGAGTTTGAGACGAGCCTGGCCAACATGGTGAAACTCTGTCTCTACTAAAAATACAAAAATTAGCCGGGCGTGGTGGCACACACCTGTAATTCCAGCTGCTTGAGAAGCTGAGGCAGGAGAATTGCTTGAACCCCAGTGGCAGAGGTTGCTGTGAGCCGAGATTGCGCCTCTGTACTACGGCTTGGGTGACAAAGCGAGATTCTGTCTCAAAAAAAAAAAAAAAAAAAAAAAGGAATGAGAGAACGGAAGAAAGAAAGAAAAAGAGGCAATTGCATGCAAAAAAAAAAAAAAAAAAAAAAAAAAACCCAAAAAGACAAAAACAAAAAACCAAGGAAATACTAGATGACCATACTCTTGAACTATAACTACCAAGGAAAAAGCAACAAACCTTGTAGTGCTCATAATGCAGAAACATCACTCAGGAAATGTGTTTAAAAATAGTAACATTTTTCCACTCACTTGTATCAAGTTTAATGTAGTAGATTTTGCATTTGTAGCCAGCCCCTGGTGAGGTGAATGCAAGTGATCCATCCCACATCAAGAGAAGCACCATCCTTGAGATTCTCAACTGTCAGTTTTGGGACACATTAGACATGGCTTAAAAGACATAAAGGTGTGAGTTTAGACTAGAAAGTCATCTTTAGTTCTTACCCATGAAATTAGGAACCGAGCACAAAGCAGAGGGAATACTGTGTTGTACAGAAGAGACTTGGGAAAACGTGCTCGGGTGTGGTGTCTCCCAAGCTGTTCTTTCTGAAGCAATAGCTGCATCTTCAGTAAAAAGGGCAGTGCATGGAATATAATACTTACCTTTCCAGAAATCTCTGAAATTACTGCAGGTATCATTTGATATATAGTATATCTAAAAGGCATATATTTTAAAGTACTTAAAATGTGTTATAATTTAATAAAAATCCAGAAAATGAAAATTGCTGTTTGTGCATATGGTATCATGTCCTTGGGTAAAGCTAGTGATGGGAAGAGGCAAGGCTGTACCTACTGACGTTAGAAAGACCGACTTCTTGGTCACTTCTCTTCCCTTAATATGCATGTTTTCCTTTTCTTTTGCCTGTTTTCTCCATTAAAACTTCAAATCCCTTTTTATTTTTACTTGATCTTTCTAGCTCTCTCTTTTTTTTAATTATATTTTAAGTTCTGGGTTACTGTGCAGAATGTGCAGGTTTGTTACATAGGTATATACGTGCCATGGTGGTTTGCTGCATCCATCACCCCGTCATCTACATTAGGTATTTCTCCTAATGCTATCCCTCCCCTAGCCCTCCGCCCTCTGATGGGTCCTGGTGTGTGATGTTCCCCTCCCTGTGTCCATGTATTCTTATTGTTCAACACCCACTTATGAGTGAGAACATGTGGTGTTTAGTTTTCTGTTCTTGTGTCAGTTTGCTGAGAATGATGGTTTCCAGCTTTATCCATGTCCCTGCAAAGGACATGAATTCATCCTTTTTTATGGCTGCAGAGTATTCCATGGTGTATTTGTGCCACATTTTCCTTATCTAGTCTATCACTGATGGGCATTTGGGTTGGTTCCAAGTCTTTGCTGTTGTAAATAATGCTGCAATAAACATATGTGTACATGTGTCTTTCATTTATGTATTGTGCCAGATATCCACACACTGTGATAAAATCGAAGCAAATGGAGGCCTGCAACTACTTCAAAGGCTATACCGACTTCACAAGGACTGCCCTAAAGTACAGAGAAATATAATGCGTATCATTGGAAATATGGCTTTGAATGAACATCTTCATTCTTCTATAGTTCGCTCAGGTAACAGCTTTATATACTGAGTATTTTTTCCTTTGTTCTTCTACCTCTACCCCTCATGATATGTTCATTTTTCAATAGACAAAGCTCTGCTTAGGGTTAGTTATGGGTCCTTAGAACATGTTATTTTGGTGGAGGCAAGGAATTGCTTGAGATTGTAGATAATCTAAGCCTAAGACAATCAGTGTTGTAGGTGATCATAGGAGAGCACGTTTGCCATGATGTTCATCCAATTGTTTATGTAATTTTTTTTTGAGAGTCTCACTGTGTTACTGAAGCTAGCGTGCAGTGGTGTGATCATAGCTCACTATAGCCTTGACTCTTGGGCTCAAGGGATTGTCGCATTTCAGCCTCCCAAGTAGCTGGGACTACAGGCATGTGCCATTGTGAATGGCTAATTTGAAAAACTTTTTATAGAGATGGGATCCCACTTTGTTACCCAGGCTGGTCTCAAACTCCTGGGCTCAAGTGATCCCACTGCCTTGGCCTCCCATAGTGTTGAGATTACAGATGTGAGCCACTATGCCCAGCCTGTAATTTTTGATGTGATTTGGTTAAGTAAGAGGCATAGTCAGACTAAAAGAGATTCATTATATGATTAATGATTTTCCCCCTTGCAAGTAATAAACCAGCTGTGGGGAGATACTTAAGACCAAGCAGATATCCTGCTTTCTATCCTCTGACAGTTCCTGCCCAATCTAGTCTTTACCTTAATGGTTTCAGAATGAGCTCCAGCACACCCTCTGCATTTACTTTACAGCATTTGACATTCTACTGGAAGCAAGAGCCCTTCTCTCCCCCTCCTCCCTCCCTCCATTTCCTCTCTCCCTTCTATGGATGGGTACATAAATTCCTGTTTTTAATAGTTTATAATTTATTGCTGAACTTAATAATTTGGTGCCAAATTGTTCCAGCTTTGACTAATGGGAGCCCCAAGCAAACTGGCCCATGTCCTTTATGATATGCCCACGTTATTTTGGGGAGGCATTTCTTATTTTCTGGTATAGCAAGATATTTTGGCTCATTTCTCTGAAGAAATCGCTATCCTTTTAGTGGAGAATGATTCTTAGAGACCAAAGTCTAAATGATAGGAGTGCATATTGCTCCTGGGGTGTCTTTGCTTCTTGTCTCTTTCAGTAGAAAGAGCTGGATAATACATATACATATAATTCAGATATACATACACACACAGATGTACATGTGTATATGTGTATATATATATGTGTGTGCTGTGGGATGGAGGGTACACTTTCAAAACTTACTAATGTAATTATTGATATTGTTTGGTTATGTTCATTTTGCTCTTTGCTTTCTCTTTGTCCCCCTTTTTCTGCGTTTTCTAACTTTTCTTATATTATTTGAGTGTTTGTTTTTAAATTCTGTTCTTTCTCCTCTTTTGGCTTTTTATGTTTGTGTTTTTTAATGGTTGTATCCTTAACTAACAGTCTACTTTGAATTAAGATTATACCATTTCATATGATGTAAGATCCTTACAACCCCATAATTCAGTTCACATCCCCTGCCATTCTTTATTTATTTATTTATTTATTTTGAGATGGAGTCTTGCTCATCACCCAGGCTGGAGTGCAGTGGCACAATCTTGGCTCACTGCAACCTCCACCTTCGGGGTTCACGTGATTCTCTTGCCTCAGCCTCCTGAGTAGCTGGGGCTACAGGAGTGTGCCACCACACCCGGCTAATTTTAGTATTTTTGGTAGAGACAGGGTTTCATCATGTTGGCCAGGCTGGTCTCGAACTCCTGACCTCATGATCACCTGCCTTGGCCTCCTAAAGTGCTGGGATTTACAGGTGTCAGCCACCACACCCAGCCATCCCCTGCCATTCTTTGTGGCATTGTTGTAATATATTTTACTCTTATTTATGACTTCACAATACATTATCGTTATTATTATTTTTTGAGACAGGGTTTTGCTGTATTGCTCAGTCTGTCCTCATACTCCTACTCTCAAGCAATCCTTCTACTTTAGTCTCACGAGTAGCTGGGACTATATGTTTGGGCAACTGTGCCTGGTTACATTGTTGTGATTTTTGTTTTAATGGTTGTCTTAGTTCATTTTGTGCTGCTATAACCTGAGGCTGTATGCCGGAGGCTGGGTAATTTATAAAGAACAAATTTATTGTCTCTCAGTTCTGGAGGCTGGGAAGTTCAAGATCAAGGTTCTGACCATTGGTGTCTTGTGAGGGCCTTATTGCTTTATCGTCATATGGCAGAAGACTAAAGGGCAAGCTAGCTTTCATGCTACAGGAGGCCTCTTTTTTTTTTTAATTTAAAAATTTTGAATTTAAGATTTTATGTACGTGATAGTTGTTCATATTTATGGGGATGTACATGTAGTGATATTTTGATACAAGCATACAATAATGTGCAATGATCAAGTCAGGGCAATTGAGATAGCATTCACTTAAAACATGAAGCCTCTTTTATAAGGGCTTAATTCTATTAATGTGGGAGGAACACTGATGGCCCAATTACCTCTTAAAGGCTCACCTTTTCATACTGTGACATTGGCAACACTTGAATTTTGGAGGGAACACATTGAAACTGTAGGAACAGCCATGTGACATTTAAAGAATATAAGAAAGCAAAAATCTATTTTATTTGTGTATTTATAATCTCCAGTGCACTGCCTTTTTTTCTGTATGTATGAATTTACATCTGATAATATTTCACTTCAGCCTAAAGACTTTCCTTTAGTATTTCTTGTGTATTGGGTCTGCTGGCAACAAATTCTCTCACCTCATTATTTGAAAATGTCTTTAATTTATCTTTATTTTATATCTGGGAAAAGATATCTTCCCTGGATAAAGAATTCTTTGTTGACCATATATATATGTATATGTGTATGTGTATATATACATATATATATAATTATATAAATGTACATACATATGTACATATATATATATATATATATATATATTTTTTTTTTTTTTCCTCTGTCAGCATTTCTAAAATGTCATTCCACTCTCTCCTGGAATCCATTGTCTGATAAGAAGTCTCTTTAGATTCCCACTTCTGTTCTTTTATATATAATGTCTTTTTTCTCTGGCTTCTTTTAAGATCTTTCTGTAGGATTTCTGACTCTGAAATGCCCAGGCATTTCATGTCATATTTATCCTGCTTGGGGTCCCCTGAACTGAGAGAATTAACATATGCATTACCTCATACATATCATTTTTTGTGGTGAGAACATTTAAAATCTATTCTCTCAGCAATTTTCAGTAATACAATATATTATATTGATGAGTTGATGTTTTTGATCAAATGTGGAAACTTTCCTGCCAGTATATCCTCCAGGATTTATTCTTTTGTCCTTTTATCTTCTTTTTTTGGAATTTCAGTTATGTATATTAGACCTCTTTATTCTGTTTGGCAGGTTATTGGGACTCTATTCATTATGTTTCGGTTTTTTCCTCTGTGCTTTACTTTGTATTATTTCTGTTGACCTAGCTACAGGTTCATTGATGAAACGGAGACTAAAGGATTCAAAGCAGGACAAAGACCTGATCAAATCAGTATCTTATTATAGAAAAAAAAAATCACTCTTCTCTGAAACCTGGCTCTACCCCAACTCTTCAGTCTTCTTGGTTGGCTTCAACATCTCCTGGATAGCCCACTCACCCGCCGGCCTCAATTCCATGACCTTGTCATCTTCATTGACTTCCTGCTCTGCTCCTGAGTTGTCGGGTACTCTACTCATAAGTCATACATTGAACCTCATCACTGCCTGAAACCACTTCACCTAAAAATCAGCCCTGAGCACATCCTTCTTTCATTCAAGCTTGTTTTTGCATCTACCCCATAAGGAGTGGTTTCCTTTTCTACTGAAGTCTTCTATCCATAGACCCCTTTATCCTTTCCCAATCCATCACTCTTTTTATTCTTTAATTCCTCCCTGAACCCAGCTTATATTCCATGGTCTGTTATTTCAGTAACATTTTGCCAGTACCCACAACTCCCTTTCCCTTCAATCCTGTTAGCAGTCTCTTGGTCAAGACCTTGATGAAACCTACTGGCTGCTTACTCTGTGTCTGAACCTGGAATCATTGCAGACTGATTTTCACCATGCTTATAAGATCACAAATTAAAGAACCTTCAGTATTGTTCAGAAATTATGCTTCTCCAATCAACATGACTTAACATTCTTAGCAGTGACTATTGTAAACTTTCCCCATGTTCCTTAAACCTTCCACATATTCCTTTCTCTCAGAGGATGACTTCTCCTCCTACTTTACTCAGACAATTGAAGCCCTAAAATAATTTTCTCACTAACAAAAACCAAACCCTGTTCTTTCCTTTTCTTGATAATAGGAAAAGAGACACCTCTTTTATAAGGCCTCCAGCCATGTTTGGGTCTGTCTTCTTTCACAGTCTCAGGAATATATACTTTTTTCTTGTCTTACGGTCAGCTAGCTGCTCCCTCTTAGCTGGACCCTCTGATCACATACATTGGAGGAAGATACGAAAAACATAAACTACATCCCCTGTAACATCCCCTCCTCCCTATTATAGCTAAACTTCTGAGAGTTACCCACCTCTACCTTCTTTTTGCTTAGCCTTCAAAGAAGGGCATTACTTCTTAATACTCCAGTTTGAATTCTGCTACCTTGCCCTGTTTGTTTGTTTCTCTTTAGGCATCCAGTGTCTTTTCCTGTTTTTATATATTTTGTATCAATCTTAGTATCAGATCTGCAAATTTTTGCCTTCAGATTTACAAAAGTTGGAAACAGCCTAAATGTCTGCCAATAGGAATGAATAATGGTTAAACAATGGCAAACTCATGTGACACAATACTATAGTTTAAAAGGAATGAAGTTGATATATATGGAGAGCTCTTCAAGACACATTGCTGCAGTACAGTCACAACAGTAGTGTGATTCCATATAGAGCTACATTTTTTTTTTTTTGAGACCTCACTGCAACCTCCACCTTCCAGGTTCAAGCAATTCTCATGCCTCAGCCTCCTGAGTAGCTGGGATTATAGGCGCCCACCACCACACCTGGCTAATTTTTATAATTTTAGTAGAGATGGGGTTTCACCATGTTGGCCAGGCTGGTCTTGAACTCCTGCCCTCAAGTGATCCACCTGCCTTGGCCTCCCAAAGTGTTGGGATTACGGGCATGAGCCATCACACCCAGCCCATTGTATATGTTTAAGTTATAGGTATATGACTATAATTTTCAAAAGGGTGTCCACCAAACTTCTAGCTTTCATTACTCTGAGGATGTAAATGGAGTTGGGAAATGATGAGAGTACTAAAGCAAGACTTTCATCATTAGATGCTGCTTTCAGTTATTTCATTATTTTTTACAGTTAACATGTACAGACAGATATTGCTTAACAGTGGAGAAACATTCTGAGATATGTATTGTTAGGCAGTTTTGTCACTGTGCAAACATCAGAGAGTGCACTTGCACAAACGTAGACAGTAGAGCCTACTCCACACCTAGGCTGGGTGGGACAGCCTATTGCTCCTAGGCTACAAACTGTACACACGTGATTGTGTGTACAGTACACTGTAGGCAGTTGTAACACATGGGAAGTGTTTGCATATCTAAACCTAGCTAAAGATAGAAAAGGCACAGCAAAAATACTGTACTAGAATCTTAGGGGATCACCATAGTATATGTGTTTCATTGTTGACTGAAACATTATTATGTGGTGCATGAGTGCATTCAGATGTTTTGCAGTTTTAAAATGCTCAATGTTCAAGAAAGATATAAGTTTTCCAAAAGGCATTTGATATTTTTCAAAGGTGGAGTGTGTTAGACATTGTGAACATATTTTGTCAACTACAAAATGCCAGAGATGGCTTGTGCCATGCTTTTTCTTGTGACTTCATTAAAAATAAAGCCATATTTTCATACATACCAATAACTCACTCGTCTATAGATAGAATTTTAAAATATTCTTATTTTAAAATCTTTAACAGATTTTGGAGAGAAATCTTCTGATGTTATAAATTTGAATATTGTTAAAGAAGTAGTGAGTCTGAAGCTTCTTTTAGTCTTTTAGTCTGAATGCTGGCTTTCCATCATCACAGTGACTCAACACTTTTGTCATAAAGAGTGGGAGAAGGGCATGGGGACAACTGTCATGTACTGAGTGCCTGCTGGGCCTGGGCCCATGATTTTCACATATATTAGTTTATTGAAACCTTTCTCTAGCTTGGTTGCTAAATAACTTGACTGAGGTTCCAGAGCAAGTAAGCAGGGAGCAGAAATTTGAGCCCCAGTCTCTCTCTCTTCAAGGCCCATTTTCTGCTTTATTTTAAATTAAATAAATTATATAAATAGACTTTCAGTTTAAGTACTTCAGAAAATAGCTATAGCAAAAAAACTAAGTGTACCTTTTTTACAGTGCCCTCTTCCACCCTACCTCTCTCCTAAGAGGTAATGATTTTATTAGTTTAGTGTATAGATCTTTGTGTGTTTGTGTGTATATGTGCACGCATGTACTTTTATACGTATTTGTGTATATAAAATTTTAAAGACAAACATTTAAAAAATGAAATCATACTGGACATTTTCAGTATTATCCATGAATTTTCTATTTGCCTCCCTTTAAAAAATGTTTTTTTCCTTCCTGATCTCCAGATTCTACAAGAGCTTTGTGTCTCAAATTCATTATTATTAAATAATTTCCTCATTTGTATTAAAGGCTATTACTATGATTGCTGGTCAGGATGAAATAACTTTTAACCCACTGAGTTTTATAATTCTTGTGAAAAGCAAAACCTGGTGGTATTTTGTTCATTTTTGTGAACAACTCTATAATTGCTATTAGTGTTAGGTTTTCTAAATAAAAAAGTGGCTCTTGAACCCCTCTTTCTTTGAGATCCCTTAAGGGGTGTGTGTTTGGGGATAGCATGGTATTGTGCCACGGGACTCAGAGGATCGTAGGGCAAAATGGGGTTGTAGTGGTCAGGCTTCTCTGCCAAGGACAGACACACGAGGTTTGCCTTGCTCGCGTCACATTCAGTTTGAAACCTCTCTTGACAGTCTGTGATGGATTCACATCAGTATTTAGGATATATGTACTTTTCACCAGGCTGGGTTTCCATCATGGCAGAAGCAATGAAATCTCACCACATTATGGAGGCTTCACATGCTGCCAGAATCCTGGCGAATCTAGACCGAGAAACTGTGCAAGAAAAATACCAGGATGGCGTGTATGTGCTGCATCCCCAGTATCGAACGAGGTAAGGAAGCAGAAGATAGTCGCCTTGCCCTCTTTGGGAATGTGAAGCCTAGAGGCCTCAAATTTTTAACTTATTTCTGCATAATTCAGATAAGTTAAATACTTTATAAGTCAAATATCTTGTTTTCCAAAATTGTCTATAGTAACCACCGAAGAATTGGAAGTGGTTGTGAAAAGTATGTGAACTAGCTAAATTATCAGGGTTATTTTACAAAGGGCTTCCCCTCAGTAAGGTTGCGTTCACCTTTGATAATGCGTCACACTTAAACTTTGTAACACACATCTTCTTTGGTTCAAGGCATTTTCTCTTAGATTTGAGTTAATAGCTGATTTGGATTGTAGAAGTCAGCTGAATAGGAAGGAGATAAGACCTTGTCTTATGTGGCAGCCAAATTAGCCTGGGCCTAGAACTCAAGGGACTGGGGAAAATTTATGCTAGTTATAAAAGCATCCATTGAAAGGAATAAGTTGTAATAAATTTGACTCATGCTCCTTCTTAAGGTTATTTGTGGTCATTATATCTAGTTGTATAATTGCTAAGACAATAAATATAGAAGGGACCACACTGAAAAAAATGGCACATTTCTTGGTTTTCTTAGGGCACTTTACAAAAAATGCCTCAGAAAATAGCAAAACTTTTAAATTAAAAAAATGGGCCGGGCGCGGTGGCTCAAGCCTGTAATCCCAGCACTTTGAGAGGCCGAGGCGGGTGGATCACGAGGTCAACAGATCGAGACCATCCTGGTCAACACGGTGAAACCCCGTCTCTACTAAAAATACAAAACATTTGCTGGGCATGGTGGCGCGTGCCTGTAATCCCAGCTACTCAGGAGGCTGAGGCAGGAGAATTGCCTGAACCCAGGAGGCGGAGGTTGCGGTGAGCCGAGATAGCGCCATTGCACTCCAGCCTGGGTAACAAGAGCGAAACTCCGTCTCAAAAAAAAAAAAAAAAAAAAAATGGATTACCTGGTTAATCCATTTTTTAATTTAAAAGAAGTTTTGCTATTATTATAATTTATAAATAAAATGTTATGGTAATGTATTTTATATGTGCGTTGCATAATTGTATGACTACTATAAATAGCTTGCAACTCACATACTGTCTACAATTTTTAATGGATCATATGCAAAGAATGAATGTTACTTTGAAATCCTGTAAGTATTAGTTTTCTTAATATATTTTCAAAAATCTCTTTTATACATATTGACTTTGAAACTGTTAGTAGCATGTTCTTTAATTTCTTAAATACTTTTATTGATTTGTAGAATATTCTCAAATGGAAGTCTTTAGAGGGTAATCTGACTATGACCTCTGTCTCTTGATTGACTGCTAAAGCTCATTACAATTGACTGTGGTTGGTCTACCTGACTAGATAAGTCTCCGTTTTTAGAGAGAGAACAGTGAACATGCTTTATGTGTGTCTTTGGCAAAGCTCCTTCTAGGGTTCCTCAGCAAACCTGTGCTTATAAATCTTGTTTTAATTCAGTTTTATTTTATGTCACATAAACCTGCTTAAAGCACCATCCACAGAGAATGCTGTGTAGATTCTTACCAAAGCAATAATGCATTTATTCTGCTTCTTTTTAAAACTCTCTCCCCTATTAGTCAGCCCATTAAAGCAGATGTCCTTTTTATTCATGGCCTTATGGGAGCAGCATTCAAAACATGGCGCCAGCAGGACAGTGAGCAGGCTGTAATTGAAAAGCCTATAGAGGATGAAGACAGATATACGACATGTTGGCCCAAGGTAAGGGAGCCACTGACTCTGGCCCTGGTTGTTGGGTCCCTGACTGTGACTTGCTTGTTTTTCTCTTTGTACTGGGATTTTTTCCTATGCAGTTCTTCTTTCCCTTAGGGACATTTGTAGTATGTTATGACAACAACTGGGCTTGTCACCCTATGTTGTATAATTTCCGTTTGGTGTAATGTGTATGACTCTAAGAAAATATTAGGTAAAAAATAGGAGCAAGAGCCAGTAATAGTTCACTTTTGTTGTAATATAATACAAAAAAAATATATAACCACAATTGTATTTATAATAGTTACCTAATTCTATGACCTTAATAATTATAAAAATGGAAAGTCTTTGAAGAAGTAATTATACTTTGCATTTCTTTCTTGTTTTTTCTATTTTTTTTTTTTTTTTTTGAGATAGGGGACTCACTCTGTCACTCAGGCTGGAGTGCAGTGGTGCAGTCCTAGCACACTGCAGTCTCAACCTCCCAGGCTCAAACAATCCTCCCACCTCAGCCTTCTGGGTAGTTGGGACCACAGGCACATGCCACCACACCTGGCTAATTTATACTTTACATTTCTTTGGTATTATTTCTCCCATAAGAACCTTAATTCTGGAATGAATTTATTGAATGGAATTTACCTAAAACTCATTTAAGAGTGATGCTGCATATATGTGTGAATAGTTTCTAGGGCATTGTTCCATTACTGCTTACTCTCCTTCACAAAGGCTTATCAAGTAGAAGAATGATTTGTACTTTCTGGTGGCACTGAAGTACAGAGATGGTGATAAACCCAGGGCACACAGAGATAGAACTGTGACCATTATTATTAGTGTCCCTGAATTCTCAGATCCAGAATCTGTCAGACTATACCATCTGTCCTGAGATGATAGCTTTCTACTAAATTCTTTCAAAAAGGCAATTTGATGTAGACTTTAAAATGCCTTGCTTTTGGCTATAGCAGGTTAAAATGGAAAATAACTCTCTTGAAACCTTCATTGGCCTTATGCTATATATTGGTGCCATTTTGAGACCAGAGACATAAAAAGATAAAATTCTGGAATTGTTTTTACAGTACCCTCAAACCTTATTCCAGTGCTGTCTTTAATTATAGTGTAAGAGGCCTTTAGTTATAAATTTCATTTTCTAGGCAGTAATTGCAGTGGTGAAGATTCATACTTGTTCTCACGTACATTTTATTTTACTTAGACATGGTTAGCAAAAGACTGTCCTGCTCTTCGAATTATATCTGTGGAGTATGACACCAGCCTCAGCGACTGGAGAGCAAGGTGCCCTATGGAAAGGTAACAGGCAAATTTTAGACCAGAAGGACAGGGAAGAATTCAGGCTGCAAGTTTAGGCCCCCTGAGATGGGAAGTGATTTTAATTTTTTGATGCCATTGACAGGATTTTCTTATGAAAACAAACAATCTTTTTTTCCTCTTCCTTCTAGAAGGAGTTTGCTCTCAATAAGCAATGGAATAGTAGAGCTCTAACATGTTCATTTACAACTATTCTCATAGCTAAGGACCATGGATTCTCTAGCAAAGTCTCCTTTTCTATCAGAAGTAAAAGTGATGTTTTTTGCTCTTGTGTCCTCAATCATACTGGCTAAAGGAAGCAAAGAGAAAGATCCTGAGAAATATCAGCTGCTCTATCCCTTGTGTGTCCTCTGTGCCAGCAGTATACTTGGGAAGGAGTGCTGGATTTCAGAGTTACTGGACTGAGAGTAGCAGTATCCTACCTTTGATTTGCTGTACAGACTTAGACCAGTCAGTTAACTTCTCTGGGAAGCTCTGTCTACAGATTGAGAGAGTTGGTCTAAATCAGTGTTATCAAACTGCTTTCTGAATGGACCTGTCATAGGTGCCTAAGAAGGGTGTCAAGGTGAGCGGGCAAGACCCCAGGTCTTCCTCCCCATTTCAACCAGAGGAGCTCTGGAGAACCCTTATTTTGAAGAAATGTGTCTACAAATAAACAGCTTGAAACTACCAGACTAGAGAGTTTTGAAGTTCCTCTTTAGTTTGAAAATTACTTATTTTGAATTCTCTGATTCTAATAGCATCCTGTTTATGCTAGTTATAAAAGCATGCATTGGAAGGAATAAGTTGTAATAAACTTGACTCAACCTAATATTTTTAAATACCATCCTAGTATTTCTAAAGAATAAACCAAAATTATGAAAGCTTAATATTTGCAGCATAACTACCAGTAGAACCGAAACTCACAAGAGAGACCACAGTCTTTGGTGATACTTTCATTGTCAGGCCTTGGATGAGAAAGAACATCTATATCCTAAGTGTTGGGGAGTGGTTGCAGGGAGACCCAAGTTTGACCTGAAAAGTTGCCTGACACAGATGCTCCAACAGTGTTCATGTAGTAAATGAATGGCCTATTCTGAGCTTAGATGTTCCTAATTATGCCAGTGTTAATAAGTTACAAATAGAGAATGAACTATTTCAGGAGCTGAGCAGAGAAATCCCAGATGTGGTAGCTTTTGCCTGTAATCCTAGCGCTTTGGGAGGCTGAGGTGGGAGGATTGCTTGAGGCCAGGAGTTCAAGTAACTAAGCAGAGAGAATAGGGATATTTCTAACCCTAAACGTAGCATTCGTCCTGGAGACAAAGTTCTTAACTCTAAAAATTAGATAACAAATTGAGAGTATCGATAGCCTCGTGTCATGCCTGCTGTTTTTGTTTTGTTTAGAAGGTCCATTGCATTCAGAAGCAATGAACTTCTCAGGAAGCTCAGAGCTGCTGGTGTTGGGGATAGGCCGGTGGTTTGGATATCACATAGCATGGGAGGTAAGTGCAGCTTCAACTTTGTGAAGTGACTGTTGTGATGTGATTTTCAGCCACTGTGGCCAACCTAAAGTTACTGTATCTTTCCGTTTTACTTAATAGTGACCCCCTTACCCTCCGCTAAATTAATCCGTGTGGCTATGACTAGTAGTTTTTGAATTACTACTCTTGTTCTGTGCCATCCCTTTCTCTAGAAAGGGGCAACCTGTTACACACCAGCGTAGTGCTTTCGCATAGTGATAATGAATAAACGCTGAGAAGCAGCCCATTTCATATACACCACCTCATAAACATGCCTCAGCATTCCTGGGTGGCCCCAACGGTGCCCCTTTATTCTTTCCTGCTCCCCTTCACCATTGCAGAGTCTGTGGTCACTTTAGTGCCCATAGTCCCAGACCTTGGGTACCTGTTCACACCAGGCCCAGAGCTGCTGAGGTGCAGGTGTAATTGAGTGTCTGTTCTTGGGGTCCTAGTGTTTGCTTATGGAACTGCCTCCCCTGTGACTCCCCGAGTCCAGTTTGAAATTTTCACCACCCACCTTGCAGAAGGCCTTTCTGCAGTATAGTATTGGGCCTAGTTTATCTGGTGAAGCACTTAGGATTGCCTCTGAGGCAGGGATTTTTGCTGAGACAAAGGTGGGTGTAGCCCTTTGTGTCCTCAAAGACCCACTGTCATCATCTTTGAGATCTTTGTGTTTCATTATTGGTTCCAAACCCAGGGTAGGGGGATGGAAGAGAAGGTATCTCCCGAGAAACAGTTCCCATGAAACAGTTCCCTGTGTTCTCCATGGGGGACTGTGTGCTGTGGGATCACAGCACCGTCCTAACAGTGTGGTCATTAGCGGGCCGTCATGGCAAGCTGAGAGACTAGCCACAGCACACGCATGTCCTCAGGGAGCTCCCAAGTGCTGTGTGCCTCACATTCCTGCAGTGGGACGGTAGATCCTGTGAGACGAGGATCTGCCCTATGAATGGGTTTCTAGAATCTTACCTGTTTGTAGACTTGCACTATAAGGATCAGGAGTATGATGAAGTGTTAATATTTTAAGGCCCTCTTTCTTATACTACTGTACTGAGAATTATTGTTTAAACCATTTTTAAAAAGAAAGCATCTCTTTTTATGTATTTCTTATTTGGCCTTTTTTTTTTTTTTTTTTTTTTTTTTTTTTTTTTTTGTGTGTGTTTTTTTTTTTTTTTTTTTTTTTTTTACAGTAATAGAGGGAAGGAAAATAGCTTATGCATGTTCTTCCTTGTCTGTGGCTAGGTCTTCTTGTCAAAAAGATGCTGTTGGAAGCCTCTAAGAAGCCAGAAATGAGTACTGTTATCAACAATACCAGAGGAATAATTTTTTATAGTGTCCCTCATCATGGATCACATTTGGCTGAATACTCTGTTAATGTTCGCTATCTTCTCTTTCCCTCTTTGGAAGTCAAAGAACTCAGCAAAGGTAATATTTTCTGTCATAAAGGAAATTGGGGTTATATTAACTTCAGTTATACAGAAAAGAAGAAACAGTTTCTTCCTTGAATATATTATCTCATTTATAATTTGTATATAATTGTGTTTATTCATGGAAGATTTGGGGCTTGGGCTTGATTTTTCTTTGATAACTTCTCATTTTGTTCTTAAGCTATTATTTACGCAAGCATTATAATAATTTTAATATTATCTTAAATACTTAAAATTAGAATAATCACATAATGTTTTGCTTTTAAATATTATTCCTAATTACTGATAAATGGCTTTTCCCCATGAGTGGAAAATCATCAACTGTTAAAATGTAAATTAAACTTTGAGATTATTAGTTTTAATTTTAGAGTACTCTATTTGTTTTGAATAATAAGCAGTTTTCTCTCTGGAACACCTGTGAATCAGAATTTGGACTCCCTGGCTCGAGCCTAAATATACTAGGTGTCTTTTAGCTCATATTTTCTCTTTGTTCCACTTATGGAGAATCTATTTTTTTTTTCTAAACCTTCTGTTGGACTTTACTTTTGTGGAGTCAGATTTTGTTTTCCACATGTGCCTTCTTTCCTGTGCCCTGGTTGTTCTGCACTCAGGTCCACTTGTCTTGTGGCTCCTTTATCTTTTCGAATAATTCTAAACATCCTAAGTAGAGGGTTTGTGAGTTCCCTTCTGTTCCTCATCTAGCTGCTTTTTCTGTGGCCAGCTTTTCTGTTTGCTTATCTGATCCGCTCTTTTAGGTCATAGGCCTATCTGGTGCCTCTTGGTTGCCCTTTCATATGTGAGGGTGAGGGATGGGAAGGGACAGGCACTCTGTGATTGTAGACAGGCTTTTTGATGGGAGGCTGGGCTTTGGGGTGAGTGTAGTGGTACCATCATCACACTGGAGGATGCCTGTGGTCCCACACAACCAGACTGCCCTGGGAACTGCTTCCTGCCCCCAGTAATGTGATAAAGCCTCTCCTGCTGCTGACTGTCCTGTCAGTTCTTGGTCTTAGCTTTTTCCTTGAATCTTATCTTCTTGGCAGGGGAGAAAATAAACATGTGTACTCAAGCCACCATCTTGAATCAGAATTCTAATTTCCTCTAAATTTGAAAGTTTAATGCATTTTATTATGAATTGGGTAAACAACTTGTCACAGTCTTGTTCTGTATAATTTTACAGATTCTCCTGCGCTTAAAAAGCTACAAGATGACTTTCTGGAGTTGGCTAAAGACAAAAACTTCCAGGTGCTGAATTTTGTGGAAACACTACCAACTTACATTGGCAGCATGATTAAGCTCCATGTGGTGCCTGTGGAATCAGCAGGTATTCACTCTTTTGAAACTTGTTGGCTGTTAGATGCTTAATTGTACCTAGAATTTAATTGTAAACAACAATTTTTATATCCAGGCTCTCAGTTTTAGGAGATAGCTCATGAAGATCTAGATTTGAATTCTGTTATTATTTTCAGCAATAGAATTAAATTTCTCTGTAAATATAATTCAGGCATTACCTCTCCCCACCCTTTATGTAACTGATTAGATGAGAAGGGTTAATTGGTTAACTCTAAGTTAAGTCATCAACAGTGAACTCTATTGCAGTAAAGAAAGTACACTCTTCTATCAGCTAGATTGAAAGGGGCATTTATTAGACTGATATTTGCATGTAGAACCCTTAAGAAGATCAACTAGAAGAGTGGAAGCTTTCGTAAATAGAAGATCCATGGGGAATAATAAAGCTCCAGAAATATTCCAATCGGAAAAACTAGTGTTGAAACACAATCTCTTCATGATCCTGGGGTTGAGAGAAATGGCCAATGCCAGTTCTCTAGTGTCATGTAATGTCTTAAAGGTTCTTTGAGGGAAGAGTTGCTAGATCTTAACTGTCTTCATAGCCTCCTCTATTACTCTGTACAGAGTACATACCCCGTACATTCCACCACTGAATTGCTTTTGCCTCACCTGGCCACGTCTTCAGCTTGCTGGTTATCTCTGGGAACCTCTTTCTTACTCTGAGGCGGTGTAGGTGCTGTCCTGGTGGTGCCCAGCGACATCATGGGTCCTTCAAGCTAGGCACAGTGTGCATCTGGAGTGCTTGCCAGAGGGTTCTTTTGTCTACATAATGAGTTTTGTCCTAACTTCATTATATGTTATCTAAAGAAAATGAAAAATATGTCATACTTTGCAGGAGAAGTGAAAAAAGTTTTATCTTAATATAATATGCAATAGGGTGAGGAGTTACTATTTAGTAGTTGAAGAACTTGAAGAGTTCCAGGGAACAGCTGCCAGATGTTATTAAAAAGGACTTTGGAAGCTTGAAGCAACAGCAGAGTTTGTTTTTGTTTTTAAGAGACAGGGTCTCACTTTGTCATCCAGGCTGGAGTTGAGTGGTACTATCATAGCTCACGGCAGCCTCAAACTCCTGGGCTCAAGCGATCCTCCCACTTCAGCCTCTTGAGTAGTCAGGACCACAGGTGCACACCACTACACCTGTCTCATTTTTAAATTTTTTGTATAGATGGGGTCTTGCTCTGTTGCCCAGGCTAGTCTCAAATTCCTGGCCTTAAGCAGTCCTTCTGCCTTGGCCTCCGAAAATGCTGGGATTACTGGTGTAAGCCAATATGCCCAGCCTAAAAGCAAAGTTAATATCATAGACCAGCTGCTTGAAGTGGCATAGCCTTGTCCTAATACTGTTACCGAGAGGCTCTTCTTTCTTTATGACTGCCACCTGCATTCCTTACCGAGGTGGCCTCACTAGTACCTCTTATTGCTTCCACACAGGGGGACTTTGTTAGCCTGAAATATCTCAAGCACTGAATCAATCATTTTTACTCTGGAAGTGATCATTGGGATATAGGTTTATAATGGATCCCATGTGAGACATTCCCATTCATTTCATCAGGACAAAGGAGCTTATTAGGAAATTTATAACAGAAACTCTGAGTAACTTAGAAATGACCCACAAGTGTAAGAAGGTTTTGAAGATGCTAGTGCTGTCTGCTCGCTGTGAACTAAGGAAGTAGGCCAGAACACACAGTTTATGGAAAGCATAAAATTATCGTTATACTGACTGAGAATCCATTCCTGCATGTTTTATCAAATGTAGTTTAGCTACAATCAAGCTTCAAGTTCCTTTATCTTTTAAGAGTCCCTTGTCACAACCAAAGCAATATTTAGAACTACCCATTTGGCCTCTTTCAGTATTGCCAAGGGGAAAGCTTATATTTTTACTTAGGTTTATTGACTTTTCTGTTTTCTTCAGATTTAGGCATTGGAGATCTAATTCCTGTGGATGTTAACCATTTGAACATTTGTAAGCCAGAGAAAAAGGATGCTTTTTTGTACCAACGTACTTTACAATTCATCCGTGAAACTTTAGCCAAAGACCTTGAAAACTAACAGTTGTCCTCTTCCAATTTTCATATGTGAGTTCAATGCAAGAAACTTGGTGTTCTGCTTCTCTTTTTAAGCTCTAAGCAATCATGCAAACCTAGTGATCATAGCGTCAACATGGTCTGGAGTGTGTTGCAGATTACAGAACATTGTTCTCCCTTCAAGCGCTATAAAGCACCAACGCGGAAGTGGCAGGCACAGAAGGAAGGGCTGGATTGGGTTCCTTTGGTATACAGGAGTCCCTTTGTGCCATTTTATGGTTCAGAGTGTTGGGCCTGGTGACTGGAGCAAAGCTGCTGTGATAGAATGTCCTTTTCCACCTGTGACTTTTCCGGTGCATCCAGGAAGGGCATGGCAGGTTCTGAGGGGAGAGCCACCATTAACTCAACTTACCATAAAAATGCTATTAGGAGAGTACCTAAAATGGAGAGAAGAAAGAACTAGAACATTCAAGACTCTCTTAGTTCTGGGTATTGATTTGAGGTAAATTTTTAAAACGTGTCAATTTTTTAAACTTTTAGTTTTTAACTTTCAGTTTTTTTTGTTTTTGGAGACAGAGTCTCAGTCTGTCACCCATGCTGGAGTGCAGTGGCGTGATCTCAGCTCACTGAAGCCTCCGCCTCTGGGGTTCAAGCGATTCTCCTGCTTCAGCCTCTTGAGTAGCTAGGACTACAGGCAAGTGCCACCACACCCGGCTAATTTTTTGTATTTTTAGTAGAGATGGGGTTTAACCAAGTTAGCCAGGATGGTCTCAATCTCCTCACCTTGTGATCTGCCCGCCTTGGCCTCCCAAAGTGCTGGGATTACAGGTGTGAGTCACCGCGCCCAGCCTCATTTCTACCTTTTATCTGACACATTATTACTGGTGTTAACTTTGCTAGACCTATTCTCATGCATGGGTCAGTTCCTTGTATCTATTTTAATATTGCCGAGAACAAATCTTTTTCTTTTTTAGAAAAATTTTAGCTTATAATAACTCTTTCCAGACTATAGTTACCTATGCTTGGAATTTGTCCTAAAGATAAAGTAGCTAATCTATTATTCATCAGAGTATGAAATAAAACTATTCTCAGCCATTATATGGATTAGCAATTCTTACTATCGAGATTCTCAGATTCTCTTTGGCTAAATAAACCTTTTTTCCTTGCTCATTTGTAAGTGGTGTTAATTGACCTCTATAGCATGGGAGAAGTAGGAAATCATGTTGATGACTTTGTTTTCGTTAGAGTAACAGCATTATTGAGGTATCATTTACATACCATAAGATTCACTGTTTTAAAGTATACAATTCATTGGGTTTTTTTGTTTGTTTGTTTAGAGACATGGTCTCACTCTGTTGCCCAGGCTGGAGTACAGTGGCATGATCATAGCTCATTGTAACCACAAACTCCTGGGCTCAAGAGATCCTTTTGCTTCAGCCTCCCAAGCAGCTAGGACTACAGGCACATGCCACCACACCTGGCTAATTAAAAAAAAAAAAAAAAAAACTTTTTGTAGGACAAGGTCTCACCATGTTGCCCAGGCCTCAAACTCCTGGTCTCAAGCCATCCTCCTGCCTCGGCCTCCCAAAGTGCTATGATTATAGGTCTGAGCCACTGTGTCTAGCCTCAATTCAGTGGTTTTTAGTATAGTTCACTGAGTTTTGCAACATCATGGCTATCTAATTTCAGAATATTTCATCGTTCCCAGAAGAATTAGGGAATTCCCATACCCATTAGTAGTCATTTCCCACTGCTGCTTTCCCCAGCCTGTGGTAAACACTAATATCTATTTTCTGTCTCTATGGATTTGGGCATTTTATGTAAATGGAATCATACAATATGCGGTCCTCTCTGCCTTCCATTAGCGTGTTTTCAAGGTTCATTTATGATATAGCATGTATCAGTACGTCATTGCTTTTTATGGCCAAAGTTACTCCACTGTATGATATGCTATGTTTTCTTTATCTATTCATCAGCTGATGGACATGTAGGTTCTATTCATTTTTTGTCTATGATAAATAATGCTACCATGATTATCTGTGTACAGATTTTTGTGTGGATAGATTTTTTGATTCTCTTGGGTGGAATTGCTGGTCAAATGGTAAGTCTATGCTTAACATTTTGAAGATGGTGGACTTCTGTAGATTCGGATAGTCAAAGCTAAAACTGGAGTGCAGCATCTCAAGGTAAATGGGTCATCAATACACCCCTATCAATACCTAATTGTTTGATTGATTATACAACAACCTAGCAAAACCCAGTTATTTTATTATATAGATATAGCAAATATGACAGTTGCTAACAACGAATGTACTAGCTGATGTCATAACATGGGGAGAAGGCGTAGATATGTTTAGGAGAACAATTACAGAATCTAGATGAAATGTCTTTAATGATCAAAGAGCTATGAAGAATATAATGATTTGTTGAGAGAAATAAATCATTATTTTATCTATAGAAATAATAGAGTCTAGAGGCAGGGCGTGGTGGCTCACACCTGTAATCCCAGCACTTTGGGAGGCCGAGGCGGGCAGATCACCTGAGGTCAGAAGCTTGAGACCAGCCTGGCCAACATGGTGAAACCCCGTCTCTATTAAAAATATAAAAATTGGCCGGGCGCGGTGGCTCAAGCCTGTAATCCCAGCACTGTGGGAGGCCGAGGTGGGTGGATCACGAGGTCAAGAGATCGAGACCATCCTGGTCAACATGGTGAAACCCCGTCTCTACTAAAATACAAAAAATTAGCTGGGCATGGTGGCACGTGCCTGTAATCCCAGCGACTCAGGAGGCTGGGGCAGGAGAAGTGCCTGAACCCAGGAGGCGGAGGTTGCGGTGAGCCGAGATCGCGCCATTGCACTCCAGCCTGGGTAACAAGAGTGAAACCCCGTCTCAAAAAAAAAAAAAAAAAAAAAAATATATAAAAATTATCCAGGCATGGTGGCACGCACCTGTAATTTCAGCTACTTGGGAGGCTGAGGCAGGAGAATCACTTGAACCCAGGAGGTTGAGGTTGCAGTGAGCTGAGATCATGCCACTGGGTTCCAACCTGGGTGACAGAGCAAGACTTCATCTCAAAAAAAAAAAGGAAATATAGAGTCCAGAAAAAGACAAACTAAAGAGGAGACCAGAAAGCAGACTATGTTGGCTTGAAGCAAGGGTGCCACTCACATATTTGGCAGCCCCTGTATACAGACAAAAAGCAAGTCCCCTGTGGGCAGATAATATAATATTTGTTTATTTATTTGAGACAGGGTCTCTCTCTGTCACCCAGGCTGGAGTACAGTGGCACAATCACAGCTCACCAGATAATTTTTAAAAGGCCTGTCCTCTTCCAGCTTATGGCTTGGAGCATAGAGCAGGGATTCGTATTTCTGATCCCACTTTACCTCTTTAGATGGGTCTCTTTGTACAAGGTCCCACTTTGAGGTCATTTGCAGAGCCAAAAGAAGCAACCAAGAAATGGAGCTATGGTTTTGGCAAATTCCCAAGGTAAGAGGGACAGAAGTTAAAGACCAGGGCTTGCCAAGAGAGTCTGATAGTCCCAAATATATTAAACTGGGACTGCAAAGGGCTATTACACAAAGTAAGGATGACCTAGAAGCAACATACTGTGCTCATGACTCCTGGGTGATTCAAGGAATCTCAAGCCCACCACTTGAGTTAAGAGGATTCCAGACTGGTAGTGTCTCCAGGCATCTGACAGAAGCAAATTAGGAAGATATATTCACCCCAGCCTTTAAATTATTCCTACAAATAGTTGTTTTTCAAATGCCATAGTCAATGAATAAAGATAACCAGGCATACAAGGAAATAAGATACCATGAATGAGAACAGTAGCAGAACAGACGCCTCTGCCTAAAAAATTAATAGAAACAAAACGACTATGCTTAGCTTTTTTTTTTAAACACAAGGTTGAAATATCTTCATAAACAGGCTTATATAATGACTTAGATTTTAGAAAGTCTCAAACAGATTCAACTTAGAAATAGATTCTAGACAAGGAAACTACTTGAAATTAGATTACACCTGAACAAAGTGTGTGAACTAGAAGAGAGGTCAGAAAGAGAAAGTATTCAGAATGTAGCACAGAGAAACTAAAGGTAGAAAATATAGAAGAGAGGCGAAGGACATAGACAAGTAAAAAGAGTCTGCCATAAGAGGCTTACTTCATAGTGGTAAAAGATTAAATTCAGGCCTGATGTGGTGCACTTTGGGAGGCTGAGACTGGTGGATCACTTGAGGTCAGGAGTTCGAGACCAGTCTGACCAACATGGCGAAACCCCATCTCTTCTAAAATTACGAAAATTTTACTGAAAACACAAAAATTCTACTAGAAATACTAAAAATACAGGCATGGTGGTGGGTGCCTGTAATCCCAGCTACTTTAGACACTGAGGCAGGAGAATTGCTTGAACCTGGGAGGCGGAGGTTGCAGTGAGCAGAGACATGCCACTGCATTCCAACCTGGGTGACAAAACTAGACTCCATCTCTAAATACATACATACATACATACATACATTAAAAATCAGCCAGTTGTGGTTACATGCACTTGGAAGGCTGAAACAGGAGAATCGCTTGAACCTGGGAGATGGAGATTGCAGTGAGCCAACATCATGTCATTGCACATCAGCCTGGGCAACAGAGCAAGACTCCGTCTCAAGAAAACAAAAAGATTAAATACACTAGGAAAATGGTAAATTTTAATTGTGTATGAATGTGAGTACGTGGTGTAAAAATTATATAATACAAAAATGGAGAAAACTACAAAAAGAGACAGACGCCGCAGGAGATTTTTAACACACCTTTCTTGGCCTGCTGGAATATTTAGAGCCCTATACTGTATCCAAGGAATAGAGAATATGTGTTCTTATCACATTTGACCAGATGGTCAATACTTACTTAGCTCATATGGTCAAATGAAGAAAAATGAACAGTGAAATAAAAACAAAATAGGTGGAAGGATTTTTAAAAAACATAAATGAAATAGAAAAAAAAATAACATAGAATCTCTGCAAAACTAGAAGCTGATTATTTGAAAAGACTAATAGTTGACAAACCATTGCACAATCAAGTAAAAAAAGGCACAAATTGCCAATAATAGGAGTGAAGAGGAACTATCACTACAATGCACACATTAAAAGAAAAGAGGATATTAATAAATACTTTAGGCCAATATTATTAAATTTTTAATAGAAAACTCCAAGGAAAATACAG